AGACCCCCTGCTGCCCCCCACCCTTGCCCATCCCCTGAGAGAGCCCTTCTCCCCCCCGTGTGGGCTCAGACCCCCTGCTGCCCCCCACCCTTGCCCATCCCCTGAGAGAGCCCTTCTCCCCCCCGTGTGGGCTCAGACCCCCTGCTGGCCCCCCCAGCCCACCTTCACTCACCCTGCTCCCCATCATGCTGGGCTCAGGCCGAACCACCTCTGCCCCACCCCCCAGCTCCACTCATCCTGGGCAAAAAATCTACCTGCATCGCACCTCCAGTGGGGAACGTGGGCAGAACACAGACACCGGCACCTCTCCCCTGGCCGGCTCCATGGCACCCTCCCGTGGGGCTGAAGGGGGCGCTGTCCCGGGGTGGGGGGGTCACTATGTTCAAAAACAGAACCCAGGAGTCCTGACTCCCAGCCCTGAGCTGAGTCTATCTGCCCACTCTGCCCTAGAGCCCCGCTGGGGCCCCTGCCCTGCGCCCCATCTGCCAGCGCTCAGCTCGCTGGCGAGGAGCCTGGGAGCCCGGCCCTGGAATGCAGCAGGGAGGGGGCGAGGCTGATCCTGGGGTCCCAGAAGGGTCATACTTACAAACTGCTCCCGGCCGAGACGGGCGCCAGCGCCAGCAGGGACGGGCAGCGGGAACGGGCAGCGGAGATGGGCGCCGGCACCAGCAGGGACGGGCAGCGGGAACGGGCGGCGGAGATGGGCGCCGGCACCAGCAGGGATGGGCAACAGGGACGGGCAGCGGAGACGGGAGACGGCGCCAGCAGGGACGGGCAGCGGAGATGGGAGACGGCGCCAGCAGGGACGGGCAGCGGAGACGGGCAGCGGAGATGGGCGCCGGCGCCAGCAGGGATGGGCGACAGGGACGGGCAGCGGAGACGGGAGACGGCGCCAGCAGGGATGGGCAACAGGGACGGGGCAGAGAAGGAGACATGTTAGAAGCATCGCATGGGGCCCCCAGAGCCAGCGCGGTGTTGGTCCAGCGAGGGGGAGGGCAGCTAAAACCTTCCATTTGGGGCAGGAAACTCAGCCACCAGACATCTGGATTTGGAAACCCCTGGAGGGAGCTGTTCTTCGGGCCCCCTTCTCCCTACAGACCGGGCTGCTGGCTGGACTGCTCTGCTACTGCCCCCAGGGCTGGGCTGAGCTCCCATCCAGACCCTCCGGGCTCCCACCAGGGACCAGGGCTCAACCAACCTGCAGCAACCCCAACACCCCCCGCCCCGAGCCTCTGTGGGAGCAGCCAGGTCCACCTGCCCCGACTTACCCCCTGAGCCGCACCGGAACCAGAGCCCAGCAGGTCAGCAACGGGGAAGAGAAAGAGAGCAGGAAATCAGAGCCTGTAGATGGGGGGGTGGGCAAGAGGGCGGGGAGGGGACAGGCAGGTGTGGGGCAGTGGGTTCATTAGCTGCAGGAGGGGCTGGGATTTCTCAGGAGTTTGGGGTCCCAAGAGCTTGACTTTCCCCAGGCCCCTCTGGGATTCGCAAGGCAGCGCGACCCACCCCAAGCTGCAGCCTGAGCCGCCCGGTCAGGGCTGGAGGGAGCATGGGCCTGGCATGGCCCTGTACTCACCGAGGTGAAGTCCTGCAGCACGTCCCAAGGGAGCAGAGAGAGAGAGAGAGAGAGAGAGAGAAAATGGGTGAGCTCGGGCTAAGGCTGGGGCAGCCCCCCACACTGCCCAAGAGCAGCGGGTCTGGCCCAGAGCCCCTCCCACTTTCCCCAGCCCAGCTGAGCAGATCAGGCCAGGCATGAGGGCCAGACTTGCCTTCCTGGTGGCCAGGGACGGCTCCTGTTTGAGCAGGTGACTCAGGGTGAGCAGGTGCCCGCTGGCCGCCCCCTGCAGCCATTCCTTCTCCACAGGGTCCAGCTGGGGGGGGGAGACACAGAGAGTGACAGATAGCAGCACCGGGGCATGTCAGGGCCGTAGGGGGGGCTGCACAATGGCTCTCGGCCCAGAGAGAGATGGGTTCCCACCAGGATTGTCAAGCAACTAAAAAAATTAATTGCGATTAATCGCGCTGTTAAAGAATAATCGAATACCATTTATTGAAATATTTTTGGATGTTTTCTATATTTCCAAATATATTGATTTCAATTACAACACAGAATACAAAGGGTACAGTGCTCACTTTATATTATTATTTCAAATATTTGCACTGTAAAAAACAAAAGAAATAGTATTTTACAATTCACTTAATACAAGTACTGTAGAGCAATCTCTTTATCGTGAAAGTTGAACTTACAAACGTAGAATTATGTACAAAAAATAACTGCATTAAAAAATAAAACACTGTAAAACTTTTGAGCCTACAAGTCCACTCAGTCCTACTTCTCGTTCAGCCAATCGCTCAGACAAACAAGTTTGTTTACATTTACAGGCGATAATGCTGCCCTCTTCTTATTTACAATGTCACCTGGAAGTGAGAAGGGGCGTTTGCATGGCACTGTTGTAGCCGGCGTTGCAAGGTATTTATGTGCCAGATGCACTAAAGACTCATATGTCCCTTCATGCTTCAGCCACCATTCCAGGGGACATGCTTCCATGCTGATGACGGGTTCTGCTTGATAACGATCCAAAGCAGTGCAGATCGACGCGGGTTCATTTTCATCATCTGAGTCAGATGCCACCAGCAGAAGGCTGATATTCTTTTTTGGTGGTTTGGGTTCTGTAGTTTCTGCATCGGAGTGTTGGTCTTTTAAGACTTTTGAAAGTAGCTCCACACATCGTCTCTCAGATTTTGGAAGGCACTTCCGATTCTTAAATTTTGGGTCGAGTGCGGTAGCTATCTTTAGAAATTTCACATTGGTACCTTTGCATTTTGTCAAATCTGCTGTGACAGTGTTCTTAAAACGAGCAACATGTGCTGGGTCATCATCCGAGACTGCTATAACATGAAATATATGGCAGAATGTGGGTAAAACAGAGCAGGGGACCTACAATTCTCCCCCTAGGAGTTCAGTCACTAATTTAATTAATGCATTATTTTTTGTAATGAGCACCATCAGCATGAACGCGTGTCCTCTGGAATGGTGGCCAAAGCATGAAGGGGCATACGAATGTTTAGCATATCTGACACGTAAACACCTTGCAATGTCGGCTACAAAAGTGCCATGCAAACGCCTGTTCTCACTTTCAGGTAACATTGTAAATAAGAAGCAGCAGCTTTATCACCTGTAAATGTAAACAAACTTGTTTCTCCTAGTGATTGGCTGAACGAGAAGTAGGACTGAGTGGACTTGTAGGCTCTAAAGTTTTACATTGTTTTGTTTTTGAGAGCAGTTATGTAACAAAAAATCTACATTTGCAAGTTGCACTTTCACGATAAAGAGATTGCACTACAGCACTTGTATGAGGTGAACTGAAAAATACTATTTATCATTTTACAGTGCAAATATTCGTAATAAAAATAATATAAAGGGAGCACTGTCCACTTTGTATTCTGTGTTGTAATTGAAATCGATATATTTGAAAATGTAGAAAACATCCAAAATATTTAATACATTTCAATTGGTATTCGATTAACAGTGCGAATAATTGCAATTAATTTTTTGAGTTAATTGAGTGGGTTAACTGCGATTAATCGACGCCCTAGTTCCCACCTCTCAGCAGCACCGGGGCCGGGGGGGGGGAGCTCACAGTGGCCCTCGGCCCAGAGGGAGATGGGTCCCCACCTCTCAGCAGCACCGGGGCCGGGGAGTGGGAGCTCACAGTGGCCCTCGGCCCAGA